AAAAAAAAAAAAAAAAAAAAAAAAAATAGCCCCCCCCACCATCTCTCAAGGCCTTCGTGAGGTTACTACGATATGTGCCGATCAGCGACTAACAATGAACCCGGCGAGCATTCCAACTCAAAAATATTAATTAACACGCGAGCAATGATGGCTTCAAGGCGCGAGAGGCGGCATTGAAAATAAACACACCTGCTATTATTACCTCATATCGCACGCAGTACGCAGCACGCATATATACACCGCTTTTCCCAGGATCAGATCTTCTGCGATGAGTATTGATGAACCGCCAGGCAACCCTCGAAAATTCCTCCGCGCCAGGATATTTCCCCGGGGTTGACGGTTGAATTGGCTCTTTGCAGATCCCCCTCGTCTGCCTCAACCAACCATAGTTCACCATCGCGCTATGCTTGCTTCATTTGCAATGTAGGAAAACGTCGCAGCAAAATGCAGCGTCAGCGTACTGAATAATAAGCAAGACTGAGCCATGTCTGCGACAAATCACAGGTGAAATCGACATGTTTGATCATGCGCCAGCCTGCATGGATACGTTTGTCCCCAGGTTTTTCATACCAAAATTAGGCAAGAAAAATGTCTTGCCTGTTTGAGGGAAAGAAAAAATTAAGTGGCCAGGATTGATATACTACATGATTTGCATGCAGAAACAACTCACCCCGCGTGAAGACTAGACTGGATTTAAAATTTAGAGCTTCATCATGTGCCCATATGGCTCGGTTTTGGGTTATGCGAAATACCCTCGTCACTGGATCGCCTGGGACACTGTTTGAGTCCATGGTTTTTGCAATTGACCCATACGTAATTAATTGTGAAGAGCATGCAGGTTTGAGAGAGAAAAAAAAACTCGCCGTCTTTCTTTTGCAAAAAATGCAAAAAGAAATGGAATCGTCCCCAGGCAGGATCGAACTGCCGACCTTCTGATAGTCTGTATACACTTTGTTGAGCGACTACTAGGTAGAACTACTCGTGTATTAACAGTCAGACGTCATAACCACTAAACTATGGAGACGTTGTGGAACGGGGTCTAACTTCGCGTATAAGAGACTAACATAGTACCCACCCGAAAAGCAGAAAAAAATGGGAAAAAGTTTACAAAAATATGCGTCCCCAGGCAGGATCGAACTGCCGACCTTCTGATAGTTAGACTGTTACCATTCCTCGAAAGGCGTGGTGATTTTAACAGTCAGATGTTATAACCTCTAAACTATGGAGACGTTGTTGAAAGTTTGCACCTGTTTTGGAAATAACAGTAAAACGATTGAGGTTATTCCAGTACCTGCATGCCCCATCGTCACTTTCCATTCAATAACGAACACAGTCCTAATTGATATTAGCAGTTTATTTTTTTTCTTATTTTTTTTTTTTAAAGCTTATAGTATTTAAGGCTTTTCAACTTTCCAGCGGCGTATTCGACCCATGTATTTCAGAAATATGTCAACTGATATTGAGTGCATAAAAAGTCTGGTGTTGCATGTATATATATATATAGGTGTAGACCCACGGCCATGGACAGCTTCGTTGACATCAATTGATTCAGCTGGACAGAACAATACACCATCAATTGACGTGTACACGTAGGTAATCGGAGGAGTTAGCATTAGAGTGGCCGGCCGAGGAAATGTTCAATTGTCGAGGTGAAATCCCGTCACCCCGAACTAGCTCCAAATATGTAGTTGCTCAACCAATTTCACCTTATCCCCACCCAAAATACAAACCTTTAACACAACTGGTCTCTCACCAACCCCGCCCAAACGAATAGCCAATACATGTCTATTTAGATAATCCCATCATGAACAGTAAATGTCACAACAGTAAGAAAAGAACACTGTGGGGCTGACCAGGGCTGTTGCTTATAAACTAGGAGGCAGTCCGGAGATATGCCCGGACTCCGCAAAGCTGAACTGACAGTGACTCCAACAAACAGAATGCTGATTAAACCACAAATAACGCAGCTGCAAAATTCGCCGACACACTGGACAAGTCATCGCTAACCTTTCCTTGAGAAGCTTGAGAAGAATCCCTCCCACCTCCCCCTCCCGACCCAGAAAGATGACGAGACCCAAAACCCTCCTGCTTCTGGGAGGCATGACCCCGGATGTCACAGCTCTGTATTACAACACCATCAACAGCGTGGTGCGCAGTCATCTCGGCGGCCGCTCCTCTGCTCCACTGTACCTGTACAACGCAGACCTGGAAACCATGATCCAGCACGCATCCCGGAAAGATTGGGCGAGCTTTGCCTCGGTGTATAAAGACCCGATCAACGCGCTGAGTCAAAGGGTCGATGGCGTTGTAGTGTGCGCTATACTCGCCCACAAAGTCTCAAAACAGCTGTCTACAGACTCAAATGTGCCACTTCTTCACATTGCCGACTGCGTGTCAACGCATATCAAGAAAACGTACCCACACATCAAGCGTGTAGGTCTCCTGGGACCAAAAGCCACTATGCTAGACGCCGAAGACCCGGATTTCTTCGTTGGACGGCTACAGAGCCCTCAGCATGGGTTTTCTGTGCTAATCCCTGACGGTGATGAGCACGTCTGCGAAGTTGATAGAGGAATGATCGAAGAAGTTGCCAAGGGACGAGGATCGGTTACAGAATCGACAAAAGCCATGTTTGTTTCCGAAGCACGCGCATTAGTCGATCGTGGAGCGCAGGCGATCATTCTAGGGAGTACTGACCTGGGATTTGTCTTTCAGAAAGAGTCGCTTCCGGCGGGGATTCCCTTGATCGAGCCGGCGGAAATCCATGCGAAACAGGTTGCACACTGGGCACTTGACCAGTCAAGCTAGCCGAGTTACGTAGATTTGGTGTTGACCTTGTCGTATTTCTCAGCAAGATATCTCTGAGGCTTTCACAGGGAGAGATTCTATCCATGAAAGATCTCGAGTACTCCTCGTCTAGGGTATACAGTAAAGCGTGTACATAGTCATTAAGACGTAGCTATGTATAATGCCAATCTACACGAAGGGGCTGCTATTCACATGCTTCTCATATATGGGTGTCAATTAAATCTAAGATTTGCTCGCTGACCCGAGCATCTCAACAGCATCCTCCCGATCCCAGCTACCTACTTCCAGAGTACGCACACTATTCTCAATATCGGCAATGCGCTGCTGCCATTCTCGTTTAGACTCCTCTTGAAGCTCCCACGTTCTCCTGAACTGCTCTAAAAGGAATGCTGGCGGGCTCGGTGCCTTGCGCAGCAACTTGTAGTCATACAAAGCGTTCTGCTCAAGACAACGCGCGGCGGGACGTTGTTTGGCCTCGGACAGGATCAAGACCTCCTGTTGGAAGAAGCTTTTTGCAAGGGTCGCTGATGGATCTTGGGTCAGCCTGTGATATACGGTGATCTTGTCCGGCCATGTCATAGGCTGGATTTCGTTCGGATTAGAATCGGGTTGCACAATACATCGGAAAAGAAAGGGTCGGGGAACAGACAAATTTGTAATCCAATTTTATACTCTGGAGAATCAACCCAGTTCCTTTGTTGCCTACTGTGTTTAGCCAATCTGTCTTGTGTGCGGGATCAATGTGCATTGCGTAGTTGCGCATAAGATTGACTCGTGCAGTCTCGGCGTATCGAAGGTAGGTCACATTGTTGACATGTCCTATTTTATGGTATTCAGGTTTAGAACGAAGCAATAACCGTGCATTGTAGATGACCGACTTACCCTATATTTATAAGGTTCAGCATACCGACTCGTGAGCCTAGCATAGGTATATGATATGATACAAGGGCCCTTACCATAACATCCTACCAAAACGTTAGACAACGGAAAATGCAAAGCAAAGTAACAAATTTCGGTCTCACCATTTCCCCCCAGACAACACTATGACGGAAGACCGATCTTCTTGTGTCCCCCGTCAGAAACCCTTCACTCCCAGCAATCAGCTCCCGCCAGTCTCTCGCGATTTGTTGCAGGATCGATCCGGCCACATCCACCTGTGCTGGCTGCAAGCCAAACATCAAACACTTTCCAATCCGTCTTTTTATTGTCGTCAGCCATCGTGGATCGACGGTGTGCGGTTTTGCGGGGTCTGTATTTGGGGATGCTTTTGGTTGGGGAGCGGCTGCTATTGCTGCTGCTGCTGCGCTATCACAGCGGGACGTGGAAGTAGAAAACAATTGCGTGGAGTTTCGGTATGGAGTGTGAAAATCGCAGCGCCGAGAGCGCTGGAGGATGCGCCTAGAAGCCATTGTTGCGAGTGTGTGATAGGGTTGTATGCAGTCAATAATAATTGAGTCAAATGTATGCAGCCGGGTTCGCTGTGAATGCCGAGGGCAGACAGACGCTCGCTCCTTCCCCACCGACGGACTCTTCGCTCGCTCTGGCAACATCGACGAGCACGGTCTCATCAACACATCTATCGCATGGAAACCAATTCTATCGGCCATTTGCCTTCAATAGTTACGCTCTCACCATTATTCGCACGCGATATTCTGCATCTCGTGCAGTCGACAGAATAATAGCAGCGCCCATTGGTATCGGTGCTCGACTGAGCTTTCGTCTACACACGTCATGGCAAACCAAGAGCTGCGGAGACAGGTGATCCGTATCTACAAAGGTACAATTAACTCCTAAACATCTGGGCTTCTTCTCTGACATCGTCTAGAGCTACTATTCATGGGTCGCGACTATCCGCTGGGATACGATTACTTTAGGACGAGGCTGCATCGGGCATTCTTGTCCAAAGCACACATTCGCGACGACAAGGAGATCGAGGAGGGGATTAAAAGGGCCGAATTTGTTAAAAAAGGTAAGCGAATCGAATTGCAATTGGTGAGTCGGTGGCTGACCGAATAGTAGAAATCGAAGCTCTGTAAGTACGCAATTACTGCTTTTACTACCGCATATAAATATTGCCAAACAATAATTCGGTATGAGCACTGCTAATTCATATTGCAGGTACTATCTGAAAAGATATCGCACACTGAAACAAAGATACCAATCCCAATAACGCCATTGCACCGTTTCCGCTGTCCAAAACCACAAACGCCAATATCCAATAACCAAACCAATCAAATCAACCACAGGGTATCGTCAGAGCATTGCATAACCCATAACCTCGTTTTTTTCCCTCCGTGAACATGACATAAAACACAAAAATTCATACAAGATTACTTCTTTTGGCCCCACCAGGCGCCTACTTCAAGACACTCGCCGTTGGCAAGGCCATTTTTTTGAAGTAGGTCTGTCGTCATGGAAGCCCACCATTTATCCCACTCGTTTTGAGTCTTCCCGCTCGCTTCCCGCAGAATAGGCTCCATGCCTTCGATCATTTGAATGATGGTCACCAGAGCCGTTTGACGCAAAGCCAGCTGGTCGGGAGTCAGCTTCTTCTGTTGCCTGGCAGTATTCTCCCATCGCACCTCTCCTCCGAGCGGGATGGCGATGCGACGGACCCCGACGTTGGAGAAGGCATCGGCCTCTGCGGTAAACGATAGACCGATGGTGGCGCAGGGCATGGCGGTGAGCTTGTGCTTTTCAAACGCCTTTTCTACCCAGGAATTATAGTCGAGTAAATACTTGTTCTGGGCGGCCGCGAATGGAGTCGCCGAGGAGATGGTGTACGTCGCAGTGGTATGGGCCTGGTCGTGGTCCTTCTCGGCCAACTTGGGGGGCGGCGAAGGGTTCGGCAGAAGCGCGCGAAAGACATAGTCAGAGTCCCAGAGCTCGAGGATACCGCCGCGACTGAGGACGCGCAGGGGCTCGCTGAGCAGATCGACCTGCTGGGCGGTGGCCGACTGGCACAGGCTGGCGTCCTTGATGAAGACAAAGTCAAAGTGCTCGGACGGAAACGGGAGCGAGGACTTGCGGAGATCGTGTCGCACAAACTGCCAATTGACGCCCCGTTTGCGCAGGTCTGGGGCGAACGAGGTGATGTCCAGGCCGGTAAAAGAGGCGTCTTTTTCGCCGTGGCGCACGAAATAGTCGTGGCATGCGCTCGACCACAGACCCGACCCACAGGCCAGCTCTAAGACCCGTTTCGGACGCTTGCTAGGGAGCCGCGGCGCACAGGACGGAGCGCCAAAGACTTGCATCATAGTCATGGTGCGGAGCGACTGGCGGTGGATCTCTGCCAGATCGCAGGGCAAGGGGTATGGGTTGTCCGGGTCGCGAAAATAGGTGCGATTATTGACTCTGGTGAAGGGCTGGGCGACATAGTCCGGGGGTGGCGACAGCGACGAAGACGACGCCTCAGCGCCCG